TCAAAAATTCTGTGTTTTTCTGTCAATATGGGGTGCTGTGTGTACATTAATGAGGAAAAAAATGAACTTAAATGATTTTAGCATATGGCTGCAATATAACAGAGTGAAAAATTTAAGGGGGTCTGAATACTTTCCGTACCCACTGTACATTTATTCTCAAAAAATATTTTTAGAGATTAAATATCACCACAGATGCACTGAGTAAGATTTAAAGATTATTAACCCATTTTTAATCCTATTTCTAAGCTTTAAATATATCATTATATACTCCTAGCATTTGGCCTTACAGACAATATGATGATTGTCTTTTCCATCCATACGTTATCTATAACACTTATTCCTGAACAGGGTTGTGGGGGGCCTAGAGCTGCATGTATTTGGACTGTGGGAGGAAGCCGGAGATCCCAGAGAGAGCCCATGCAGGCACAGGGAGAACATGCAAACTCTGCACAGAAAGGCCCTGGAAATTGTGTCGTCAGTGTTAAAGTGTGTATTCCTCTCTCAACCAAAGGGGGAAGCACTGAGAAAATCACTGCTAGGCACATCAAAATGAGGAAAAGAAGTTGTCACACTAACTGGGGCTGTGGCTACCTTCTGCTGTAATGCACACTGGCTGACAAAAATAAATATAATAAAATAAAAACAAAGGCTCAGCTAGAAAAGTCTCAGTCAAATGACGGGCCTCACGACTAATGATTCAACCAGTGGACCTTCAGGGGACAGCCCTAGTTATTTTCCACAATTAGAGTACTAAATGGCTTGTAATAGCACAGACATATTTATATGCATGGTTTCAGTGAGGTATGGATACTGACAGTGCAGTCAAATTGGGCTGAAGCTGCAAAAGGCCACATCCACTTCTCCGCCTCTCACACATTTACAGCCCCACACATACATAGTGTACATTATTTAAGACAAAGTAGTCATTTTTCTGTTTTCCCTCTTAATGAAACCACCCTCCCTGAGATGTAAAATGGAGTAGATACTGCTCAGCCTATTGATCGATGCCTCCTCACCCCATTCTGACATTTGCTTATCTGAATCAACATCTACTGCTATTGATGTTTGCTCTATCTGGACATCTTCTTAAGGTGTGCTGTTATTTGTCAGCTCTTAAATAAAAACAGAAGTGGGGAGAATTGTCAGTGATAAGACTTAACGACACCAGCCACAGTGATTGTTTTATATAAGCTGGAGGACAGAATACTGTCTGTGGGAAGCTCAGCACTGTATTGTGATTAATTTCTCACTCTATACCTCTTATGGTTCCACTGAGCAATTTTCTATTTTTGCCACTAATAAGCAGGTTAAAGAAGACTCATTCTGCAACCTCTCGCATGGATTCACTCATAACTATGGTCAATTTACTGAAGCTTTACTGAACACCTTTTAAACTAATGGATTTAAGAGCCCACTCTACAGGCTCTCCCAGTAAAATCTACAATTTTCCCAACTTCACCCAAACTCTCCGCTTCTCGGATAGAAACTAGTGAGAGCGACACATCCACAGTAGAGTAAAATTTCAAGCTTTATACTTTGCCATCTTTTAATTCTAATACAGTACAGGCCAGACTTCCTTAACATGCTTTTCTACAAATAAATTTTCTCCCCATGAGGTGGAAGACAGATTCTTCCATTCCTCCTTCCCTCTTTCCTCCCTTGCCCCATCTCCTGCAGAGAGGTCATTATTGCAGCTAATTATCTGCAAATAGGCTCAATATGACAAACACAGCGCTGCACCGGTGCTGGCTAAGCACAGGAATCAGTCTGAGTGGGAATGAAAGAGTGAAAAGGAGGCAAGGAGAGACAGACAAGGAACAGAAAGGGGTCACACTGAAGAGAAAAAACGTGACTCAGAGATAATTGAGAAGAACATGAGAAAGACACTGTGGAATAAGATGAGAGAAAATGAGGAACTATAAAAGTGCTATACTGTAAGTGGAAGGCAGACTGGGGAAAAAAGGCAATGACACGAAAAGGGAGACAGCATAGACATGGGAAAATTATCTTTTCTATACAGTGTGTGATGGTTGCTGCCACTGGAAATGTCCTGCAATGTACAGGCCACATCAATTTAACTCCCAGCATGCTTTGTGAGGAGGGTATCTCAAGGCTCTAAGGCTGTTTATCTCATCTCCACAGAGAAACTCATTTACCAGGCAAACATGGAGGGCTATGATGCATCAGTAGGTGCTTGATTAGATCCTTACTTCTGATGCGTGCAGCTATTTATCAGTGTTGAATGAATGCACATTTGCTTTCCTTTCATCTGGATAATCCTGAGTGTCCTTCTGCTTAATTTCTTCAAATGAATGCGTCACAGGAGCATCAGGGCTCCCTGCAAAGTGACAGGATAATCTAGTTATTGTTGCCCCACAGTTTTGATCAACACTTTAAGTTTCACAAAAGGCATCAGGCATTGTCTTGCTGTGTTTTGTTTGCCAGTGACAACAGCTCTAAAAAACCTTAGGAAATGAATATGAGTGGCAGCATTAAGGGATCATTGCTACTAAAGATTAGTATGTGGCTGCAGGTGTGATACAGATGCTAAGACAAGTTGAAATCACTGAGCTATTCCTGTCCCATAACACAGACAACACACACAAGCACACAGAGCTGAACAACAGATTTTTAGTGAGTATGACTTACATCACTAACTCCAGCCTCCACTATCTTCAGGCCTGTTTCCTTCTCCAGCTGCTGCTTCTGTTGGACTGCATGGGGAGACAAGAGCAGAGGAGGTGCTGAGAATGAGCAGCGGATGACACAGTAGCAGATTTTTCACTTCCTGAGGGGAAACAAGTGGTCAGTGAAAGTGAGAATGATGCACTGGATGCAACAGCATGAGTCAGATGTCAAACTGGTCATAGACAGGCACCACACACACAGAAAATCTTTATGATGAGAAGAAGAAAAACAATCCTCAGTGCAAGATAGCTGAAAGGAGTCTGTGGTGGCTCTTGGAAGGATGATAGGTAGGAGCTAAAATTGGTTTAAGTTTGATTTATTGTCTAGCACTAGATTTCACACACTGATATGCAACACTAGACCGATGTAATATTTAGGTTTATGCCCTAGACCGATGTAATATTTAGGTTTATGCCCAACAGCAACTGTGTTTGCATTTTTCTTTGGGATACAAACAATGGTGGGTAGGGCCTCCTTGTTTCTTTACTGAATATGGGACCATTCTGTGTTATTGTGATATTTACGCTGTGATAAAGCATGGATCATAGTGGAAAGAATGTTTGTCAAGGAAATTACTTTGCTTTATGAAAAGAAGACGACTACTGGGCTGCAGTCACAGATCCTGCAACTCGCACATGAAGCGAATCCCAGTTCCCTTATTTTATCATTCCTCAGTCCTCAATCTTGTGAAGGATACACTTGTGTATCCTTCACAAAAGTCTGTTACGGATTGACATGCCTTGTATTGGAAATAAGTTTGTGAGTGGATGTTACACATGAAAGATCAGTGGCAACCTCTCTCCTCGAAGCCTCTCCTTGCATCCTACGTGGGCAGGAATAAGATGCTAGTAAAAGATGCAGGAGAAGGAAACATGGATGCTATTAGTGGAACTGGGATTCACCTACTGTATTTCTTAAACTGCAGCAGCCATGATGTGAAATTTTTAAGAAGGTGTGTGTCAGCTATAGTATAGCCTAAGTATATGACCACCATACAGAAGCTATGCAGAAATATAAATTAAGCTTTAGCAGATATATATTCACCATCTCAGCACTAAATTAGCACTAAACACAGTACAACTGAAGCTGATAGGAGAGTAAAGTTCTGCCATGACGATATTATTATGTCAGATGTCACCAAAGTTAACATACATTATCCTGAGGGGATCATGAATGTGTGTGTCAAATTCCAGTGTCATCCCTCAATGAGAAGTCTGGAGATCACTAAAGCCAACAGGAATATAAATGTCTGCATAAAATACATTGTCAGTTTATCTAATATTTGTTGAGATGTCTCAGTCTTGACCAAAGTGATGGAAAATGCTGGCATTCATGGAGCCATGTTGCTCACAAAGCTAAAAATATAAAAATCAAAAAAGGTTTACCATTATCTTCACACACTGAGTCAGACCTACTCAAGATTATCAGAAAGCATTTGAAGTGCACAAACTAACTAAAGCTCCAGTCTTTGTTCTTGCAGTTAACACACCACCTGAGTTTGAACCTCAAAGGATATCGATCTAATCAAATATGCCATGCTATTTCCATAGCTTTGTTCATGTAAGATATTCTCATGCAAATCAAAGTGAGGAAGTAAATATATACAGATCAAGATCACACGTTTTGCCGCCTTTTTCACCTCTTGTGCTTAACGCCACTGTCTCACTTTGATAGAAACATTTATATTGAAAAACAAAATCAAAGGGGTCTTAATAGATTATACCAAATTATAGAGTGAAAGAGAAAAATTGAGCATAATTTTAATTGAGTTTGTTAGCATGTGAATGAAATTGGTAATGGGGAAAAGGAAAAAAGTGAGAGTTAAAGAGAGAAAGAGAGCAGGTCCTTTAAATCCCATTTCCCCAGATGAAGGCTATGCAAATGACCCTGAAGAGCTGAACCCCACCTCACACTCCAAATTCAGCAAGGGCCTGTTTAATTAGTATTTTAATCTATCCCAGTGATTCCACTCATCCACAATGTATGCAGCATTCCATCTAATTAAGCACGCTACTTTTAGGATAATCATCCATCTCCCTCAGTCTTCCTCTGTCGCCTTTTCTCTTTCTGGTTATTAAGGATCTTGCAAACATTGATCATGCTGTCATCTCATCAACATGGCAGCAAAGGGGACATCTTATATTTTAGCTGTCGGCCAGGGGTTTCTGAAGAATGGCAAAAAGGAGGCGGCTAGCGTTGGAAAGGTTAAATATACAGTGAAAGTCTCTAAATTAGAGTGTCACATAAAAGAACTGAAAGAAAAAAAAACATTTCCTGTCATTAACGAGAGGAGAAAAGTCTTCAACCTGCATGTCTCCAGGATGAAACTCATTTTCATCTCATGTTGCCACCCCCTGTATTTAGTCCCAGACATACTGCCTCTCCACAGATAGCCACAGTACCTGCTCGGTCGTGGTGCTATTTAAGAGGGGGGTAATGAGCGAGGTAATTGGGCCCAGCTGGGTGAGGGCGTAGGTGGTGGAGAAGGCGAAGTTGCTAAAAGGTCACACAACATTTTGGTCCTAATGAGGACCCCTCTGGGGCCGATACACATCATGAGTCAAACTAGGAGAGACAGGAGAGATTAGCCTGGAATCAACACACGTACACATCAGAGCGGCTGCAGCTAACGATTTGAATGACAAGCTGACATTAACCTTCTTACAGTGAAACTAAGGAAGCCTGAAGGTCAGTATTTATTTATGAATCAAAGCTGAGGACTCTCCAATCAACCTGAGGGAAAGGATGGTCCCACAACATCCACTTAAATGTAAATAAAAATGTACTTGCCAAGCTCATTAGCTGGCAGCTGGATGGATCTGGGCTGCAGTGAGAATCCAATTGATCGCTTGTTCTGTCACTGACTGTAGAGATAACAGCCCACAGTGTCTCTTTATGGTCACCCCATATATTAACCTCCCACTGGAGCTCACTCTTTTTTCCAGACTGTGGAAAAGAGATGTCAGGACTCATTTCAAAGAGGCTCCTCCAGCTATTTTAATAGGCATTGTCTGAGGCTATCTTGAGATCTGATCCTCGCTGCTCATAATGTAATGTAATGCCAGGAAGATTTTCATGTGATCAAACGTGCACCATTTTAACTTACATAACTTGCGTACAGCTTTATTGAATTGCCTCATGGTACAATACTGTCATGATAAAAAGTCCACGATATGATATTTATCACAATATTCAAAAAATGTAAAGAATTTCGTTGATAAGTCACTTTTTATATAATTTCCTTTTAACTTGTAGTACTTCTGCTTTCCTGCTTTATTAAAATAAAAGTAGCCAGCCATGAGCTAAGCATGTGCAAAAATCCGACGTGAAGTCATTGGCACTGAATGCCTGAAGTTTTTGTACAACTGCAAAACAAAAAATATGTAATGCAGCAGTCATTTTATGAAATACAATAAAATACAATATATTATTGTAGCAGCTGGATCTCGTAAACAAAACAAGCCACAGTCACAGTGGAACATCAGTGTTTTAATACTCCGACGTGAAGTCATTGGCACTGAATGCCTGAAGTTTTTGTACAACTGCAAAACAAAAAATATGTAATGCAGCAGTCATTTTATGAAATACAATAAAATACAATATATTATTGTAGCAGCTGGATCTCGTAAACAAAACAAGCCACAGTCACAGTGGAACATCAGTGTTTTAATACCCCCTAGGCAGGTTTTACGTCTCCTGTTTGGTGGCTGTGCTGATCACTATGTCCCTTTCAAATTCTGCACCCTGAACTCAGTAATATTAGTGAAATAGCCAAATGTAATATCCTGGAAGATACCGTGACAGTCCCACACCGGTATCACAATATTGCTACATCCCTAAAAAGTAAGTGTTATTTGTAAAATTACCACCACACAAATTTCAACCACTACCTCTGAATTATTTCAACTAGACCTGTTTCTGCTGCCAAAGGACATTTTTCATTTACAAACTACACTTGTGCACAAAGGAATCTGCCCTGATTCACCAGGTGAACAGGAAGAGCAGAGGAATACTTAAAGAAAAGGCACTGGGGTTTATGGAGGAAGAGGAAAAGTCATCAATCATCAGTCTAAGGAATGATTGTTGTATTTCCTTGACATGCACAATAGTAAATTAAAATACAGTAAAAACACATTTTGGTTTAATGTAGTGACCTTTAAGTTGCTCTGTAACACGTGCTTCGCACAGATTATCTCATGCCCAGATATAACTGCATTAAAATGTTTCTTCCACCATATGCTCCAAACTGAAGTGTGCACTCCTCATCATAAATTCTAGTAGCAATTCAAAAGCGATTATCATGAAGTCATCAGAGCTTAAAGTCATGAATATATATATATATATTCATTTTTTTCTGATATATGACAGTTGTTATTGTTAGAAGCAATATAAATTCAGTACTGAGAGACAAATCACCCACTGTAGGCTGAGAGTATTTTGCGTTTCAACAGGGCACAGCAGCCATCGTTGTCACATCCTTGTAATGTTGCCTCTTTGGCCAAATGGGGGTATATAGTTGACGAAATGCATATTTCAACACCCTCTGATTGATCTGTTAATATTGAATAACATCCACATCCATTTCATTGGTCTCCCTCATCTCTCCTCTGCTCCTTAGGTCGTCTATTCACCACTTCCATCTCTCTATCCATCACTCCAAGCAAACAAAATGAAAGTGTTTATTGCGGAGGAGGGCTGACGCTTACACCTCTCCACAGCCGTTAGCCTTATCAGCAGGCAATCACTTCAATATTAAAACTGCCATTCTACCCATCACTTTCCCCTTGCACGTATGATGGCCGCCCCTACCTATCAGAGTGGGGAAAAGAGGAGGGAGGGAAAGAAAAAGGAGAGGGAGAGGGAGATGCATGTGATCCCCCTGACAGATAAGATGCACAACAACAGTCAAAATCCAACAGGCAGGAAACAAAAGCAATAATATTCCTTCATAGCTCAGAGAGTGAGGAACTGAGCAGCAGCATTATATCCAAGATATTTAACATGCATGGATTTGCTTTACATCTGT